GCTCATCAGGCTATTGTGGCTTTGCAATATTCTTATCAAGGTAGATACATTTCAACGTATCACGGTACATAAAGAAAAATATCATCGTCAAAATGTTCATATCTTCAGGATAATTACATATTTATACAAAGGTTTAAAAGAATAATTACATATTTATGTTATCTCTCCATTCCACCTGTACCTAGTAGCATTGTCTGGATACTGAGGAAAAAGTGACAAGTCTGAGGGGCCTCTTGGAAGAACATCAAGAATGGGAGCACGAGGTCAGATACATGGACTTCTGTAACTACTAGGGCTTTTGGGCAACAATAGGGGACTCATCTCATCAGGAGGACGATGTTGGAGACCTTGGAAGACGATCTCTCACTAGAAAAATAAGTCTCTCCAACTACTAGGTCACTCTTAAATGCCTCAATATGTCTTAGTTGTCATACATTTTACTTATAATTACACCAGAAAAATCATATCATAATCAAATAAGGCAAAGTCATATGAAAGAACATGAAAAATTAAGCAAACAATGTAGAACAGGGAATTATAAATTTTTTTCTTCGGGCTCTCCAGGCGAAACTAGAGAAGCATAAAACAAATAAAAACCTATACGCTCTAAACATGAAGTAATGTAAATGCATGCATCACAAATCAATCTATTATGTTTTTAACTACATTTTAATTAACCATAAATAACCTATTTAGATAATGCATTCATCACAAACAAAAAAGGAAAGAAATGAAAAATTTATCAAATTGTGAGAAAGCTTAAAAAAATGAGAAACCTCGATTTAATGGAATTGAGTAGAGATTGAGTGATATCCTAGACTTGAATGCAATGCAGTAGAAGTAGCGAGAAAGCTTTAAAATTTATGAAAATGAAGTTTGCTCACAAGTTCTCTTTTGTGTTCTAAGTAAGTTTATGAAATAAAGAAGGAAGAGGAAAAGGTATGGCGTGATGATATAAATTAAACGCGTTCGGAGATTGGAATCCATGACAATTATAAAGATTAGAATTTGAATTATTTAAGCATTATTTTGGTCTAGATCTGAGATATGGGTGTAAAGTTGTGAGGGTGGGTCCGGATTCCAATCTCTAATTTTTTTTTCATCTTTAAATCTTCCATTTAGTCTTTTTAAGTGCATTTAGATTTTAAAATCCATATTTTAGCGACATTAGTGAAATTTCACCGTGGTGGGTGAGCAACACATATGGTGGAAAAAACATTCCCCTTTATTTAAGCGAGTTAAAAATAATGGAGACCCATAAATAAAGAAAGCTTAGTCATGAAAAATTATTGGGATTACTTCTCTCACCCTAAGGGTGCGTGTGAAAAACCAAAATTATCGTTGGAATTCAGAAATATACTTTCAGACGCATCTTGGTCCACACTCAAATTATCCGTAAGTGAGTCAAATCCCCATTTTAATAAAAATTAATATGAAAATGTATCTTCGTGTAACTTACAAAAGTGCACATTCGGATTGGGTTTTAGTCAAATACGCGCCTGACCTCCTTCCCCATTTATAACAAAAACACTTTAAAACTCTTCTCACTTACATTCTTCACTTTCAATTTTTTTCCAGTTCAAGTTTTTTCCTACTCCATCCAATTCAAGTAGTTTGTCAATTTCTATTTTCAACATCCAATCAATTAAAGTGTTGAACATCAACTATTAAATCCAAGTTTTTTCACATTTGATTTTTAAAGCATGCATTAAGTAATGAACACATTAGGTTGTGTAAAATATATAGATAGTTGTAGCCATTGTTAGATAGTATAAATGAGCAATGTGTTATATCCCTTTTGATTTCCACATGTTTTTGCCATTTTTGCTTTTCTGAGTTGCAGATAACTACGGAAATACACTTCTGTGTTGTTTCAAATTTTGATTTTCAAATAATATGGAAGTGTGTTTTCGTATTTTGTCTGTCTGCGTTGTTTGACTTGATTTTGAATGTCACTCATTTGAGTTTGATTTTCTACTTTGTCTAGCTTGTATGGTTTAAATATAGGTAGCATGGTTGACAACCAAAATTGATTGAGGCTCGATAGAACATTCCACCATGCATTCGTTTGCAGGAAAAGAGCTCGACCATTGTGGCCACCAATTGATTCCAGTTCATTTTATGCATATGCGTCAACTTTTGGAGTTCAGGTGTCTTTGACTTCGTCTTCCTATAGGCAGGTGTCACCTGCTGCTGCTCTGAAAGGCCCACCAGTCCATGTTGATGAGCTTGCCACCGTTTCAATCGTTCTTAGGAATTTGGAGAGGGCTCGTATGACACATCAATGTTGTCTCTGTATGCAGACCATGCTGCTAGTCACGTGAGGGACAGAGAGGTAAGGTTAACTATATTTATCATTAGAAACACATGTGTTATAATATTAAACAATTTTGACGATGAAGTATTTTTTTGCAGTAACATGATTTTTAAAATGCATCAACCATGGTTGAAAGATTGCGAGGCGCCATCGATTTGAGGAGCATTAGTTTTATGATTCCATGTAGTTATCTGGACTGTGAGATTTATGAATGACTGATTATACTACTATTAACTCTTGTGTGCTATCATCGTTTGTTAAGAGATGACACTCTGAGATAACATATTTTTATCTTCTGCATGGTGAGATGCCCATTACACTAGATGATGTATCATACTTGCTACATCTTTCGATTAGTAAAAGATTATTAGACCACTATAGGATGACAAAATTTGATGCACTGTAGATGATGGTGAACTATTTGCGAGCTAAGTCAGAGCACGCCCTGAAGGAGATAGAAGACACTAGAGCGTGCCATGCTAGATTTAAACTCCTGGAGAACCTGTATGCACACCACCTGGCTACGAATGTGTAGGCCAATGGTGATGATGAACAATTTATTTATCATAGAACATGTGCATTGAGGTCATACCTCATGTACTTGTTTGTCATGTCGTATTTGTGGACAAAAATGTCTATTACGTCGGCGTGGTTTACCTCAGATACTTTATTGACTTAGAGCAAATTTATAAGTACAACTTATAGATCACTTGTTTGATTTATCGGTACTCCAAGTTAGCTTAAGGTTGTCTTTGGAACACCAAGCAGATGACAACTAATTGCACGTTGTTGACTGGAATATATTAGCACCTTTTACTATTTATGTATTATTTTCATAACAGTTGTACTGATGTCATTATTAATAATTCATCTATACCATTTTAGGACATGGATCCTCCAACACTTCAGACACATTTTCGGGTGGTCATTTATTGATAGATACACTGAGGATCAACCGTGTGCTTGTGCATTTATTCCACTCAAAGGGAATTTGTCGATCGAGCCCTTTAGAGTGTTCCTTGACCGCACAACAACAAATAATATATGCTTCTGGACGTACATCACCATCAGACGTGTCCCTTGGATGATATAGTCTTCTACTCTAGATGGTTGACTTGTGGGTCACATCTGATTTGTCCACATTTTCCTAAATGAGTCATACGCCAATTTGGATATATGAAGCTTGTTTCAAGAATACCCTTTGTGTTTGTTCCTCCTACTATGATCTGCAAAGATGTAGATGTCATGTATCATGATTTCCTTAATCATCTGGTATCGAATGAAACACGAGGTGTTGTACCTCCTAGCGAATGGAGTTGTGCATATGACTACATCCAATGATATTTTAGAGGATCGCATCCTTACATGACACTAGATGCTTAGAGAAATCCATTTAGACCAGCTCTTTCATAAGATATTATAGGAGGAGCAGGTTAGGATAGATCATGTCGTTAATGTAATATTTGCATGTTGTCGTATTATAGATCTTGCGTGAACGAGTATAGATAGAGAAGACTTTTTTTGAAGACTTTTAGGGTGGCCATTGTATAAGTCATTCTATTTTTTCAATATACCCAATAGGATAGTATTTAGATTAGAGATTATGGATAGTATTATCGCTTGTAATATGTTATTTTATCAGTATCATGAATTTTGGATTGATTCTAATATGACATTTTCATCTTATTATATCAGTGTATGATTTAATTGATGAAGAATTTATTATAATAGCATAGTTATAATAGTGTATTTTTAAGAATGTCAAATTTTACTGCCTAAAGGGTGGTTACAAAGTATATTTCCGTATCTTAGTTACGATATGCATCTCTGGACAAATTTATGACAAAATGAGAGTGTGTCTTAGTTACGAATGAATGAGGGTTAAACTTGAAATTATTACGAAGATAGATCTCCTAACTAAATTATAACAAAGATGAAAGTGTTTTCTCAGTTATGAATTGATTTAGTGTATATGGATGCTTTCAAAAATATACTTCCAAACTTTCAAAGACATTTTCAGATGTGCATAGAATCCTTCATCTCCACTAAGGGTGGGAGAAGTAATGCACAAAACCTTTAGGTAGTAAGTGATTGTGCGTATTTTGCAACCAACGTAAATTTGTGTTTTCAATAGATAGGTCTTTAACAGCTCAGAGACACATATTTAGCCTAACTCTGCCACTAATATTTGAGTTTGACAATTCTACATTCATTGTTTTTCACAAATATGATTGCAGGAAAATTCTATTCCAAATGGTGCATGTGCCTCCAGCTTCTGATTCACCCATTATTGAAATACCACAGACAAAATTGCATTGTAATTGATACAACTTCTAAATAACCTTTAGGGCATTAGCTTGGCTACAAGTTGGTTTTTATCATGAGACAAACAAAAAAGATGCACATAATTTGGCTATAGAGTCCATATTAGAGTCTAGCTTCTGCAATTATTATTCTATTCCCCATTGTATTTCGTGTATAGTTGCTGATGAAATTAAATAAGCTCACTTTGCCTAAAATAAATTCCTTAATGTACATCTACCAGGGTTTTGACACAGCAAAATAGACAGCCAGATTTTTTAAATAAAAATCTTGAACAGCAAGTAACTGTGCTTTGTATAAATTGCTCGTAATAGCCACACTAATGAGGGAAACTGCTAACCGGCGGCTGTAGAAACGTATCTCATAATGGTTGAAGTTCCTGCTCTGAAACAGCTACATCTACTGGTTTGTATGAATGCTCTGCTTGCTGTCTGTTTTTCCAAATTAAGAATATTCCCAAGGCAGATACTCCAAGAAGCAATGTAACTAAACCCATTAAAGCCACGACCCAATAATATTTCTGCCACCAAGTCCTGCATCATCTCAAAAAATAATGTTAGCAGCATAAAAAGCCCCAATCATATTCATATTCAACTAAAAGAAGATTCTACACATCAGCTATATATAGGTTGTAACCAAAATAGGCAACTGAAATAAGAAACGGATAGAAAAGGTTAAATTAACAATTATGCAGGTAGGATAATGAGTTGCCCGTAAAGAACAGGTGAGTTTCCCCTTTGACTTCACTTGTCCCAAAAGTTTCAGAGCAATACATGTCAATGAAAATGTTTGTAAACTAGTAGAATTATATACATTTCCTTGATAAAGTAAAGAAATATTAAGGTTTCAAAGAAAATACAACATTAGGTGCAAGTCTTGGACATTTGCATCACTTAATAACTTAATGTAAAAATGTGAAACTAGCTAATCAAATCATTGAATCATCTGATATTAATCTATGATCACATATATTAAATTTTAAATAATTTAGAAATTGTTAGGTTTGTAATCTAATAGTGGACATATACTTATTTTTTAGAAAACATATTATATCTTTAATTGCAATAGTGCGATAAAGTACTATCTCTTTCTATATGAATTGTATACCAAACCTACTTAGTGAAAAATTTCAATTCAATAGTTGGATTAATTAAATTCATCACATACTAAATTGGTCTAGGTATACCAAGATTAACACTCATTGTAAACAGATCTGGTTCCTCTTTCACGGTTCAGTGGTAGAGCAAAGTGTTTTTTAACCATGGCATACGCCACATGTGTATATAAACAGAATGCTGGATGCAGTTGAGAATAGTCTGCTGAGTATATAAACAGATTTTGAGCCTTGACTTACATACACATTAGTGCAGAACAGTTATTTCTATCAATCATAAGGCGTGCATGTGCTTTTACAAAACATGAAATACAACCCCATTACTCAAGCCTGAATATTCATAAATTAGAGTACAACACACTTTCAAAGTTCCATTTAATCTGAACTAGATAAAATTAGGTACCTCAGTATTGCATGCACTATGAATATGATAAAGTACGTAGGTATACAATGATATAGGGCAGACAATTTTCTCTTTTCCCTATTCAAAGATAGAATTTACCGTTTTGATGAAGGCTCTGCATTCCAATCAAGCAACTTATAACTTCCGAATGTGTCTGGGAGTTGCATGCGATGTTCAGAAAGACGGGACACCATACTCTGTCAACATAAAAAATCACCATCAAATTCAATTGGTTTGTCTTCACATAAATGCAAATGCACAAATATCAACTTACCATTGCAGTGGTGTTAGAAAAGAAATCTGCATATGGCCTTGGGGTTATGGCCCATCTAGAGAGGGACCCATTTCCAAGTGAAGAAAGATCCATTAAGTTAACCTGCGATCATTTCAAATCAAGAAATCCATCATCATTATCATTAAGTAACAATGCATGCGAACAGGGAAAAAACTAGCTGAAATGTTTAGTTTTCTTGGTACTTTGGAAGGTCAACACATGACTGAAAGTCTTACGCCTAGGACCTACATATATCCCAACCTACACCAGCCAACTGGTCTAGCCACGTTTGTATATGCATATAGTGAATTACATCTCCTTTTAGCATCAAATTAATAAATTATACTTAAAGCTATAACTAAGCCCCAATAATTATTGGGGCTTGGTGACCATTTTCTAACCTGCGATGTATTAACATCTAACTCATGAGCTATGAGTCCAGCCAACTCCGTAATGTGAGGCTTCATATCAGCGGAGCTTATGTTAAATAAAATGGAAATTGTTATTTGAGCAATTTGGAGTTCACCTGCTCATTCAAGACAATCGTAGGAGATTAGTCGTTACTTATTAGTGAGCATATAAGCTACAAAGCAACCACATAAACTTTTAAAAAATAAATAACATGATAACCTACTTTGTGTAATTTTAACATCTATCCATGATTACACATGATGTCCCTGTATATACTTAAAATAAAATTAGAACAGTAGGACATAGTGTCACCTTGATCAATATTATTCTGCGATGGCGATGGAGATAGAGATGGAGATGGAGATGGAGATGGAGCAACTGAAGGTTCAAATGCTTTGGTTATGTTCGTTATTTCTGAATTTGAAGGCGCTGGTGATGGGGCATCAGAGATGTGTAATCTTTCCCATAACTCAGAACAATTTGTTTTCCAGAAACCAACTTTAGAATTCTCACGATCATACATTACAAGAGTGTTACGGACAAAGATACCTACACAAACAGTATAGGAATGATCACTAAGGGCTAGACAAACCCATAACTCATAAATCTAACACAAACTAAGGAACAATACTTCAAATCAGCACAATGTATGAAATGAACTGGAGTTACCCACGGTAAATTAGTTACCTCCTAAAAGAGTAGTTGGATCCCTTCCATTTGAGAAAACCCCCAGACAATATGCACCACGAACTTTTGAATGCTTTATAAAAAGATAGCCACAAGAAAAGTAGGGATTAGAGAATCAGCTAACCTATAAACACAGCTGAAGATACTAATGATCTTATATCACTAACCCGAAACAAGTAATTTTCAGGAGACAGTGATAACTTGTGACCATTTTCAAATACCATGTCAACCACTGGAAAACTTTTAGAGAGTTGAGAGACATTTCTGAAATACAAGTAAATTTGAATCGTTAATATGCTGCAATAGGCTCGTGTGTTCATTTCATTACATAACAATGATACAGACATACATTCCAGCACCAGAAAAACATATATCTTTATAATTTGGATCTGGACCACTAATTTGCTTCAAAGAGTTACGTTCCCTCATAATCTGTATAACAAGTAAATACAAAAGCAAACCCATCAGACATATAAGATAAGGTTTATCTTTACTGGATACTCAGTTTTACTGTAAACATGAACAGGATATCCGGCTATAATATACAATAATTAATAAACTAAACTATCAATGATGACGAATGAATAAAACAGGCTCTCCGTTATAAACGGCACATACATTTGGCTAGTCCATTAAATCTTTTAATTAAATGAGCTGATTAGGAAGACATCCTAGAGGTATGAAGACCAAAACACAGCTTCAGAAGAGGAAACTTTAAGTCATTATTGTTTAAATGAGGTTCCAAAATTAATGGTTTATAATGAGTAATGACTCATGGCATACTTGTGCTTCCTGTTTGAATAATGATAATCTACAATAATTCAGGGTACTTTTAACTACAGTATTAAGAGATATCGCTTTAGAAAGGTTAAATGGTGTAATTTGTAGCATTCTTTAAGTCAGTGCAACTCAGAAGACAACTCTATGTTGGAAAGCAAGAAATGCAACTCGGAACATTTTACTATGATATTTTTGAAAGAACTTACAGCACGTTTAAAAGCAAGAAATGCAACATCTGGTAGGTATGCATAAGTGGTGCCGCTATCCAAGACAGTTCCATGCTTCCCATCAAAAACCTTTGGGTTTAACCGCAATTGCTTCCCCGCAACATGTATCTCCTTCAAATTGATATTGTAATATGGACTGTTGCCATCCCGAAACTAGAGTAAATGTGAGATTAATCAAATGCATTTTTTAAGAAAATGCATGAAATCTCATAATTATTAAATAAGAAAAATTGACACACACCTTCTACCAGAATCTGAATGTGTAAAGACCATATCTGATGGGGGAGATATTCCACCAAGAATCATAGCACCTCCACCAACATCCATTCCACCATAGCATAGTGAGAATGAATTGCTTATTACCTTTTTATCAACCAATTGATCCATGATACTCAGATCTCCGCGACCCAAACCCATGATACCATCAGCGCGCTGACTATAGAGATCACCAGTCTCATCGTTTTCACAGCCAAAGACAGCACGTTGTGGAGGAAGTTCGCTCAGATTTCCAAAGGACACAACATCCTCACCAAGGAGTCCACTGCTACTGCTCATTTCAGCATACTGTCTCTCATACATGCACTGATTCTTATCACCATCACAGTTGCAATCCGGTGTGCATTTTATAGGATCATAAGTTGTCGACAAATCAGGCTGGAAATTCGCATCCTATTAAAATAAAATTAGCCACACAAATCAATTTTTCTTCAGATAAATCACAAGAGTTACACACACATGGGACAAGACAACAAATTCTAAATGAAACTATTCTTTTCCAAAACCATTTAAAGATACAATAAATAACCGTAAGAGACAAAATAAGTCATCCATATTCTACTTCTACCTCTTCATTTTCATTTTCATCACTTTCAAAAAAGAATAAAGTCCTGTATGAGTAAAAAAAAATTCCATAACCATGAGCTCTGTAGCACAACTCTGGAAAAAGGTGTGTCTGAGTGTCCGAAACCGACACTTGTGATTCAATTTAATTAATTTATTTTTTCAAATTATTATTGGAGATGCATGTCACTCTAGGTGTATGTGTCTGAAACCGACACCGACACTTGTTATTACAATTAATTTACATTTTTCAAATTATTATCGGTATCTCGACGTATCAATCAATTTCAGTGTTGTGTTTCCGATGTTCGTGCTAGACAATATTTACAAGTTCTTAACACAAAATTTAATTATCAATCAATATAATCATTTATTTCTAGGCTTATAGAATATATAGTTTTTTAAAAGGATTGAAGAATAATTATTACCTGGTGCCTACCACAGTGTTCGCAAGTAGAACAAGGAACATAAGTAACAGTACTTCCGGTATCAACAATAAGAGCAAATCTCTGCGGAGGAGTACCGATCCAGAGCCGCGTGGTATAGTACCTACACCGTCGAATTACAGACACAAAAGACTGGATCAACCACATACATAAGAAAATCGACGGAATGAAATCGCGTAGGAAATGAAAGAGAGCAATTGAGCAAACCCGTTGATAAGGAGATCGTCGTAGAGTCTCATGCGAGCGTTAGGGTGGTGTTGTGATTCGGATCTCTGGAGTTGACGGCGAGGATTGACTGGCGAGATTGAAGAATCGGGTGAAGTGAGATGGAGAGGGAGAATCATGGCGGGACGAGAGAGATTACGATCGGTTATTGAGGGAAAGAGTAAGAGGTTGTTAGGGTTGATAGAGAGAGCGAGGTAAGGAGAAAAGGAAGTAAGGTGTAGAAAAATTAGAGAGAAAATTGAGATGAGTTGAGTGGTTACAAAAATCGCCATGAAGAGAATTGGTGTATGAATAGCGCGCGATGGCGCTGGCACTGGCGCTGATCGAAAGAGAATGAGAGTGAAGAGATTGATGCAAAAACTCAGAGCTGGTGTTTTAACTCTCAATTACGCCAATAAAGTAGGAGGGAAGTCAAGTTATCTGTTTTCAATCCACGTAGCTATTTCCGATAATTAAAATTTTTTAATTTTTAATTATAACTTAAGTCACATTTTACTAGTACTAAATTTATTATATAACTGAATTTGATAGGAGATCTTTAATTTGAAATTATTTGATGTCATAATTCATTTCCAAATCGGATTAATTGATGTCGTGAATCGGATACTGTGCTGTAAAAAAAAGTTATATATAAAATGTGTCACAATCGTCTTAGCTATATTTGTAAGAGAAGAATCGTGTAAACAACAAAACGTACCTCGCAGTTGCATCATTGCATGAAGGAGGAAGGATGGCAGGTAATTTACTTTGGAGAAGACGGAAAATGTTTGGAGCGGAGCTGGTAGATAGTTAAGGATGGACAATGATGTTCTAAACCCGGAGATGATTACAAAGTTGCCACTATTTTACAGGGTACAACTAAAAAAAATTATTTACTATAAATTTAGTGTTTCAATTGCACGTTTATGGCATAAAATATATATATATATATTATAAGGATAATTCAAAAAAAAATTATAAGAATAAATTAAAATTTATTTATATTATTGGGATTATATATTTAACTCTTTTAAAATAAATGTATTATTTATACAAAATAAAAAATATAATAAAGTAGTAAAAGATATATGAGAATTTTGATATATTTTAGAAAGAGTGTAGTTTTTTTCATACAAATTAAAATTGTAATAAAATAGTCAAAATGTGATAATTTGACTAAACTTTTAAAAATAATGTAGTTTTTGGACATAAATTAAAAAATATAATAAAGTAGTCAAAAGACATAGGTTTTTACTAAACTTTCAAAAAGAGTGTTGTTTGCATTTTTGGGCACAAATTAAAAAGTTTAATAAAATAATCAAAAGAAATGAGAATTTTACTAATCTACATCATATATAGTTGAATTCCGACTATTCATAAAAAAGAAGTAAAATAAGTATTTTGAAAGTAGTATAGTAATAATAATTAGATAACAAAATTGATTAAAAAAATGAATTATCTGTATCTTAAAAAATTAAAAATAACATCTATTTTGAAAAGAAAATTTTAAAACTACGTTCATTATAAAATATAAAATAGTCGGAAAAAATAGTAATTGAGTAATTATAACCGGTTTTTAAAAAAATTTGTATTTTTAAAATATTACAAATTTTTTAATATTTTTTTAATTAAAATATTTATTTTGACATCTTATAACATAAAAATACATTTATAATATATGAAGATTAATGGTTCTAGAAAGCTAAACTTTTTCCTCACTCTTTCTCCTAGCATATATTGAGGGATTTTTAATGTCGAATTTTTCAACTAAATCTGATTGTGATTTGTTATAACCATTGGTTTGGAATAAAAGCACTAAATTGTCCCAATTACTTTAACTCTCATCCTTAGAGTGTTGAGTTATCATATGCACTTTTTAATAAATTCATTTGTCAATACATGATGTTGGTTTAAATTTTCGGTTGCTTCTTTATTCTTTCATCTATTTTCACTTTATAACTCATGCCCGTCAAAAAAAAATGTTTTTTATTCATATTCATACTCTTGAAATTGGGCTTTGGAGGTTTCCATCATTTATTTACACATTCCACGTTATTAAAACAATAAGTCTTTTCATCTTTCTCAACATCACTCATATTTTCTCAATCTCATCTTTCATAGCGTTCAAATCTAAATTTTACAACCTCTTTCATCTCTTCATATTTATATTTTCCTCTTTTCATACTCTTTATTTTCTTTAACTACTCAATTATTTCAACTGTTGTTAAGCTCATACAAGTAATGGAGTCGTGATTGCTGAGTCTTCTTCATCATTCATCTCAATTTTTTTAATATTGCTCAAACTCTAAAAAGTTGTTATATCTTTAATGTTAACTTTTAGTACATTTAGTTTAATGTTATTTAATTTTTACATCTGTTTTGGTTATACAACTTTTAGTTTCATAATTTTTATTTAAAAAAATCTAAAATGGTGTTTTTCCACCATCCACTATTTTTTTTCCTTATTTCATACATCCATCATGTGTATTTTTTCATTTATGTGTTAATGTTCTTTTCTTCATTATTCCTCAGTGTAGGAAGGCAAGACCCTCTAAAATAATAAAGGACATCAATGACTGAAAAGAATTTTGAAATGAAAACTTTCTTTCAACAACCTCTTTCATTTTATCATCCTCTAACAAGCTATTTGTTCTTGCTAAAGTTGACTTCCCCGATGCTAGTTAGGGAGAGTCTTAAATGATTGGTTAAGTGTCTGTAAATATTTTTCTCATGTAGTCATTGTTTGTCAACTTCTCATGGAAAAAGTCTCTTTTATACTCCTTCCACCATCAATGGCCTTAAAGGGGTGCTTTTTTTTTATATCCATCACTAAGCGACTTGGAATAACGTATGCCGTATTCCATAATCATCACATAACATCTTTTCCCTCAGCTTTTCTAATCTCATGTCATCATGGATGCGCTTCATAACCGTCAATTGTGATTGTTCGCATGACTTCCTAGCACCGACCATAGAGACAGAGTCGACTTGTTCTTCTATCAGAGTTTACTATAAGACTGACATGCTTGTATTATCGGTATGTGAACCCTAATCGGATTCTGACTTGTGCAAGATTTATGCTTATCCGACTTACATGCTTCTTTGTACCCGGTTTACAAAAACTCGACTTTTTAGAAATTTCAGGATGTACATAAGCCCCCCGATTACGAGATCATATTGGATTGAAGTATTCGATCAAGATAATCTTGGAATTCCTTTTTCCCTAGGTTGGCCTCCTACTCGGCGAATCACTGAGGTGGCAGTCATCTTAATGATGACAAATCTTTCTCTCTCCTCATCATGATGGTTTTTATGGAAACTCTCACTTGTGATCATTACTCTTTTTCATATGAATTATTGACTATTGCAAACTTTGTTTTAAAGGGGATTTGTTTATTTCATTTTGTTTACTACCAAAACTAGAGATTTTTTTTCCTAAGTGTTATGGACAACTTTCTATTTCATCTATCCCTCGATTCTTCTGTTATCTCAATCCCCAGGTATCGTTTTGTTTCCCTTTTTGCTCTTTTTTTTTATTATGTCTTCAATATGAAGCTATAGTTACTTGGGATAATGTTCAATTTTCTTTACTGTTAGTGATAGAAATAGGATTCGAAATGCTTGCATGCGAGAGTGTGAGGCTTATTTGAGTCTAATAGATTTTGACCGAATTATTAGAGGAAGTTTATGGTGAAACCCTTTCACATATTGGTAACACTGACTCAGAGTCTTCGTCCTCAGGTTTGTTAGACACTTTGATGGAGTCAACAGGAAATTTGATAGATAAAGAGGTTCTAAGCTACGACCATAGTGTCATTGACGATAACAACATCTCAAAGCTTCGTTCTAATAGCTCAATTTCTTCCACTGGGAATGACGAAGATGTTATTTTAGAGCCTTGCATGGTGGGCGAGAGGGTCTGTATTACTCGGCCCAAGGGAGTGCCTGGTGAATATTTCTATTTCTATTCAGGGGTAATTGAGGATTTTAAGATTCGTATCACGTTTACCGATTTTAAGTCTGTTTACGTGATTTTGGTTTTGTTTATTTAGGTGATGATAAAACTTGTACCATCACTAGAAAGGGGAATATTAAAATTTATTTGGATGATGGCGTGTGCATGTTGAGTGAGGTGCGTTATGTTCTAGAATTGAGGAAGAATTTGATTTCTCTAGATACTCTTCAAGCAAATGGTTATTCATTTCAGTCATATAGAAATAGATACATCATGAGGGTTAGCAAAGACGCAATGACAGTGATGACGACAAAAAGGATTGCAGGAAACATTTATAAGTTGTTAGAGGGCACAATTATGGGTGATGTAGCATCTGTTGAAACTGATAATGATGCAACCAAACTTTGGCACATGCGCTTGGGCCATCTCAATGAATGTGGGATAATGGAACTACATAAAAAGAATTTATTGAAGGGTGTTCGCAATTGCACAATTGGATTGTGCAAGTATTGTGTTATTGGGAAACAATGTAGAGTTTGTTTCAAGATCAGGAAACACAAGACTAATTGAATAGTATACTATGTCCTTTATGATGTTTGGGGGCCTACAAAAGAGCCCTCCATTGGAGGTTCCAAGTACTTTGAAATATTCACTAATGATTTTTTTCATAAGGTCTGGGTTTATTTTATGAAATATAAATCTGAGGTCTTTTCCAAGTTCAAACTATAGAAGGCAAAGGTTGAGAGCTAGACATGGAAAAAAAATAAAGTATTTGCGGTATGATAATGAAACTGAATACACAGACAAGAAGTTCATGCATTTTTGTGAGGAGAACGGAATCCAAAGGCACTTTTCTGTAAGGAAGACACCAAAACTTAATGGTGTTGCTGAAAGGATGAACATGACTATGAAGGAGAAGTAAAGGTACCTTTGGTTGAACGTTGGTCTTTCAAAAGGTTTTTGGGCAAAAGCACTCAATATGGCATGTTATTTGATCAACAAATCACCACGGGCTTCATCAGATGGAAAAGTTGCAGAGGAGGTGTGGACAGGTAACCCCATTGATTTAAGTAATTTGAAAGTTTTTTGGTGTCCAGCATATGTACATATTTCCATTGAAGATTGGTCTAAAATTGACCCCAAGTCAAAACAGTGCATCTGTATTGGCTACAACAAATGTGTGAAGGGATACAAGTTATGGGATCCGGTTAAGAGGAAGTTGGTTGTCAAAAGAGATGTTACATTGATGAGCAATTGATGTTGAAACACTTAGATGTGATAGTTGTGCCAAATACTGATGTAAAAAGTTCTAGTCATGACAAGATTCAGGTGGACATG